ATGTTGTTGTTGTTGTTGTCATATACGTCCTCAGTACTCCTATAGAGAGTGTCAGGGAAACAGCTTTTATTCAGTCCTCTTTCTCTAAGTTGGCTTAGTTCCCATTACTTGCATCATAAACAATCTTAGAGGAATATTGTTTCTTTCTTGAAATGTTTCATGCTCCCATTCATTTTTGTTTCCTCTTTGCCTCCAAGCACTCGTTTCTTTTCAGTACTACACTTCCAGTTACCCATGGCTTTCCTAGATGAAACTCGGATTCTTTTTATAGAAATTCTGTTCGTCTTCTCACACTCTCATTCAAGAGAACTGTGCAGGAATAACACAAATGTCCAACGGTAATTAAACTCAGGTTTTTAATTGATCTTCCCCACAAATATTCTGTGGTTTCCCTTCCCACAGAACTTTTATGGCTTTTCCTAAAATCAACATTCTGGGGATCACGGTAGACATTAAGTGGAAGATGCATTTATCTCATCTCTTCCCTCCAGTGACAGCATTTCTTCAAACATGCATTCCTGCATGATTATACTTGCTAGATAATCCTATCATTCCCTTTCAAAAGCAAAGCAAAGTGTGCTGCTTATATACCGCCCCATAGTGCTTAAAGCACTCTCTGGACAGTTTACAAGTTAATTATACAGGCTACACATCCCCCCCCCCCTCGTGAGCTGGGTACTCATTTTACTGACCCGGGAAGGATAGAAGACTGAGTTAATCTTGAGCTGCCTACCTGGGATTGAACCCCGGGTCATAAGCACAGTTTTGGCTGCAGTACAGCAGTTTAACCACTGCGCCATGGGTGATTTCAGTGATAAATGGCAAAATAAATTGGTGAAGGAAAGCACATAACAAACATGCATCTTTCACTATTTGAGGGAGCACCAATTCTAACTATGTGCTAAGTGTATCATGTACCCCTAGTGTCATTGGATTTTGCTGTGGAAAGCAGGAGCTTTAAAAACACCCAATTCTGTGGTTTAGTGACTGAGACGATGGTTCCTTCATACAGAATTGCAAACCCGCGATGAACCTTTTCTGAATGCGGTTTTTAGATTGTAGGCATAACAAGGTTGCTTGCTATTTTGTTCCTCCTCAACGTTGAAACATTTACGCTGAGATATGTCTTGCAGGGGTTCTATATTGATATGCATTGACTTACGTGGGATGTCACTAGCCAATATAACTTTTAAAAAGACCAAGTATTTCAGACCTTTATCTTCTTGATTATTATGATCAGATGACAGATAGGAAAAATGTCCATGCTGACTGTGGGGGTACTGGGAATTGTAACCCTATCTTCTGCCCAATCCCCAATTCAAATTAATTCATCATCTTCACCCTCTTCCATTTCTAGCATGTCGATCTTTAAATGGGGAGGAGCATGCAGGGCAAATACATTCAATCCCTTGCCTTAGCCACCGTTTTTCCAGCTCTAGTTGCTTTCTTTTTAAATTTGACATGGCATTGGGGGGGGGCGTGCATAATGTTTCAGCTCCAACAGGTTGCTTTGAATGAGGAAGAATTAGTATTGGCCAAGGAGAAGAAAGGCTGGAAGATGGGGAGAAATCACTTTTGTTCTCTTATTGTTAACCCCCCCCCACCATTGTCTACCAAGTAAATTCTAATTTTTAACCAAATTCCCATTAAAATGGCGAGAAAGTTATAGTACTGCCATCATTTGTGGCCTGTGGTATCCCTCAGTGGTCCCCAACCTTGGGCATCCAGATGTTCTTGGACATCTGGAGAAATCCTGGCCAGCAGAGGTGTTGGGGAAGGCTTCTGGGAGTTGCAGTCCAAGAACATCTGGAGGCCCAAGGTTGGGGACCACCACCTTAATTGACTATGATATGACACAGTTATAGTCAAGTTTTGAAGTTAATGGAATGTAATTGGCTTCTGTCAGAATATTCAGGTCATTTCTATTGGAAATTCCTGGATTATCTTTACATGCATGACTTCGGCTTTGATTTGCTGATTTCCAATTCTTTCTGTGAAATCTCCATTTTCTGAAGCTTTCATTCTCAAAGATAAGTAGATTAAAATAGGGCAGAGTTGTGCTCAAATGCAGGAGAAGGTTTCAAGAAATGTTAAGCTATCCTCAACATTTCAAATGTTCTTTGAAATGTTAAGGATAGCTTCAAACTTTCTTTTTTTTTCCAGGTCTTCAGAACTTACTAGGTAATACATTTCCAGATAGTTTTTCTTCCCCTAGGAATCAGAAAGGTGCTGGAATAAATATATCATTATCTTTTAGCTTGCTCAAAAGAACTTTGTGGCCTGTGAAGGCCTTTGTTCTTAAGGACAGAGATAGAACTGTATATCAGTGTGAATTCCCCTCATTTTAAAACAGAGTTTAAATTTCACAGTGATAGGGCTAGGAATATTCCAGACCATTAGCTTTTGAATATTATCATTTAATGGAGTACAATATGTGACATTGTCTACTTCCAATTCTGAGGTGTTTACCCAAGTAGAATCAACATGCCTGCGGGCTGCCTGACACATTTTGCCCCTAAACTGCAACTGTTCATTGAAACCCTGTAGAAAGTCCCCATGCATACAACTGGGTTTGTTTGTTTTTGGGGAGGGGGTGTCCTTACAGATATTCAAAGCCTGGAGAAGTTATTTTCTAATTTAACTGGTAGTTCCAACTACCAGTGGGCATGTTGCTACCTTGTGTAATTTTTGTGACACAATACACACAGAAAGGATGTTCAGCAGATGTGTATTTTATTATATTCTTGAAAATGTGGAAACCCTGTGCATAAGTTTTAATAGAAAAAAAAACCCACAGCAAGAAACTTACTGTAAAAAGAAAGCAGGTTTTCTTCATTTACTTGCTGAGGATGAGAAACTGTGAGATTCACATCCCTAGTATTGAGACTGGTTTTTCCCTTCAAATGTACTATTAGGCACCCAGCACTGGATGCAATATTTCAGACTTGGTTTATATTTTATCCAAGTAATCAATCATGTTCTTCAACCACCTACTCAACAAACATGCTAGAGCATCTCTAACAGATGACTATACATGCTGTTACTGACCATCTTCAGTAAGGAAAGCCCACCAGGGAAAGACCCAGAAGTTCCAAGCATCTATTGAATCCTTGCATTGCATGATCTATAGGCATCAAAGCTGTGCTAGAAAGCGAAGAAAGGGAGATAGCAATTCTGTTTTGAGTTTCACGTTCATGCCAACCTTGACACAAGCTGAACATTTAAAAGCAGAAATCGAGCAATCTATTTGCTGTCCAGTTCAGTTGTGCAGAACAATTTGCTTTGAAGACAAGATCGGTTGATTCTGTTAAAAATGTTTCAGATGACACACCCAAGCAGAGACTGAAACACACAGAATACTGGAAAAATTGATGTTTTTTTAAAAGGATATGATGGACAACAAAAATATAACGGCATCCAAAGGGATTTTAGAAGTAAGACACAAAGCTTTTTCACAATTATTGAGCAACTAGAAAGGAGAATTGAATCACACAGAACATGGATCAGTCTTTGATTTTCATTTCTTGCTCTATAGCATTTACAGTGTGTACTATTTTGTGTACCATTTTTCACAGAAAGGCAGGTTATAAAAAAACAAAGACTAAGGAAAATTGAACAAAATGGTTAAAAAGATGTAGGCATATGAATGTCTCAACTGCAGGCATGCTCATACAAATCCCAGCTGAAGGTGAGAGGCAAACGTATGTGAATAGATTCGAATCAAAGCATTGATAACCAAAGGTGAAATTGATCTTCTCTAGCAGTTAGTATGATCTGTCATAGTTGGCTTGAGTTCATTATTAATATCTGCTTCTTATTCTGATCCAAGCAACCTTTTTGTAAGTTCCTGTTCCTGTTCTTAGGCAGAATTCAAATTGTGTAATATTACTTGCAGTTGCAGTGTAGGGTTTTAAAAATGCCACTCTGTCGTGTGTGAGAGGCAAACTGCTTTTTCCTGTCCTGTAGCTTTCAGCCGATAACTCCCTTGTGAGTCCAGAGTTAAAAATGCCACTCTGGCAAACTTCTTTTTCCTGTCCTGTAGCCTTCAGCCGATAACTCCCTTGTGAGTCCAGATCTCACTTGACATACTTCTCTCACACCAAAGGGTATGCTTGCTATAGCCGCCACCCCCACCCCACACAATGTAAGAAATTGCCCTTGATCTCTAGTTAAGGAACTTTGCTTGATCAGATGGTTAGTAGGGAAGAGGAATCTAATCCCCAGATATCCTTGGGCCTCTTTCTGACAAAAATTGAATGGCAAACCATCAAGGATGTAAGCAGTGTTTTGATCAGTGGATGGCAGCAGAGTGAGCAAGTATGTTCATAAGACACATGAAGTCAGGTGTAGGAAACCTTTGATGCTGCCGACTTGCTGAGAAAGGCTACGACTCCTCTTGTCCTTTCCATGCTAGCTGGGGATACTTTGAGTTGAGTCCAACGAAGGTCCAAACATTTCCATCATTTATGGGTCATATGAACTCATTTTCTGCCAGCTGAGTTTTCAAGATCTCTTTTAAAATACCTGCTGTAAGTGAAATCTGATAGTATGTAAATGTGAAAGATACTGAACTTCTTTTTGCCTTTTTTCATACTTTCTGTTGCACTAAACTGAAACTAGAAGTTAAAGTTTTAGTATATGATCTTG